GAGAGAGAGAGAGGGACATGGGAGGGACAAAGATATGAGAGGGGGATCACAGGGATGTGGGAGGGGACAGGGATATGGGGGTCACAGGGATATGGGGGGGACAAGAATATTAGGGGGGTCACAGGGATATGGGGAGAGGGCTGGAAGCTTATGGGAGGCACAAGGATTGGGGGGAGTCAGAGGGCTATGGGGAGGGGGACAGGGCTGAGGGGTCGCAGGACATTTGTCGGGGGCAAGGACTGGGGGGGTCACAGGGCTGTGGGGGAGAGTTCAGGGCTATAGTGTGTGGACCACGGCTATGGGGAGGGGGCTGTGGGGTGGGACAAACCCCCACCCTGCCCCATACACACCCCACATGGGCCCCCCGGCCTGGGGACACGGCTGAAGCCCTTCCCTGCACCCTCGGCCAGGCTGAACCCGCTCGGCACTGGGGTGGGTGTTCCCGACCTGAGCTCAGCCTGACCCTGAGCTCAGCCCAGCTAAACCAGAGCAAACAGCGCCAGGAGCCGCCCCGGGGGCCGGGGTGGGATTTAACCCGGGTTTAACCCAAACTGGATTATCTGCAAGGTCACGGAAACGCAGGCTCTGCCCACAGCGGGCTGTTCCCGGCGGGAACAAAACCCAAACACCAAACCACGCCCGGGGGGGAGAAACTGTTCCCAGGGGGGAAATCATGGCTCTGCGGGAGGTGTGGGAACAACCCCCGGGTGGGGACAGACCCTGGGGCGTGTTGAGAGGGAATTTGTGGAGTGAGGGGTATATGGAGGATGTTGGGAGTTCCCATTGTAAGGGAGTTCTCAGTCCTGCTGGGCTGTGCCATGTCCCGGCTGTGCCATATCCAGTCTGTGCCGTATCCCATTTGTGCCATATCCCAGCAGTTCTCAGGGGTCTCTGTGTTCTCCACAGTGTCTCCTGTGCAGGAATCCCCACTGGTGATCCCGCTGTGGGTCCTTCCTTCATCCCTGTGTTCGTGGCTCTGGGTGCCGCTGTGGTGTCCCAGGGGTTGATCCCTGTGCCGATGCCACCGGAGGAGCAGTGCCAGGAGCTGTTTCACAGACCCCCCCATTTGGGGCGGGGGTCCACCTCATGGCAGCCCCTTCCTCGGCAGTGAGTGTCCCGTGTCCCAGGAGGAGGAGGAGGAGTTGTTGTGCTGTGGAATTAAACCTCGTGGAGCAGCCTGACTTGCAGGGTGCGTGTCCATCCTCGGATTTTGAGCCCCTTGACCCATCTCCCACCTGCGTTGTGGGGTGGGAGGGACATGAGCCCCCTCTCCGTGTCCTTTAGCCCTTCCAGCCCAGGCTGTGGCCCAGATCCAGAGCCTGTTTTGGGCTGGTTTGGTCAGCCCAGGGCTGCTCCCAGGGGCACTGGGGGGGCTCAGGCTGTGGAGCGGGGGCTGCGGGCACAGGCTTGGGGGAGTCTGGGGTCCGTGGGGGGCTGTGGGTGCAGCCTGGGGGAGCCTGGAGGCTCTGGGTGTGCAGTCTGGGGGGAGCCTGGGGTCTGTGGGTGCAGGTCTGGGGTCTGTGTGGGTCTGTGGGTGCAGGTCTGGGGTTTGTGGGGGGTGTGGGTGAGGGCCTGGGGACGGGTGGGGGGGGTCTAAGGTTCCAGGTCTGGGGTCCAGGGGGGTCTGTGGCTTCGAGTCTGGGGTCGGGGGGTGCAGGTCTGTGGGTGAAGGCCTGGGGACTGGGGAGGGGTCTCAGGGTGTGGGTCTGGGGTCTTTGGGGGTCTGTGGCTGCGGGTCTTGGGCAGTCTAAAGGTTCAGGTCTGAGGGTTTTGTGGGTGTCGCCTGAGCGGGTGCCTGGGGTCTGTGGGGGTCTGTGGGCGCAGGTCTGGGGTCTGTGTGTGAAGGCCTGGGGTCTGTGAGTGCAAGTCTGGGGTCTGTGGGGGTCTGGGGGTGTGGGTCTGGGGGTGAAGGCCTGGGGTCTGTGTGGGTCTGTGGGTGAAGGCCTGGGGTCTGTGTGGGTCTGGGGGTGCAGGTCTGGGGTCCGTGGGTGCAGGTCTGGGGTCTGTGGGGGTCTGTGTGGGTCCGTGGGTGCGGGTGCGGGCTCCGTGGGGGTGTCCGGGTGCAGCCTGTCTGTACCGTGGGCTCGGGGGGGATCTGTGTGTCCCACCCCCGCCGCCGCCGGGGCCCGAGCGGGGCCGGGCCCGGCCCGTTCCGGTGACGGTGAGGGCGGGCCGGAAAGGTGAGGGCGGGGCCCGGCCCTGGCCCGGCGCTGTCCCGGCGCTCCCGATCCCGATCCCGGCCCTATCCCGGCCCTGTCCCGGTGTTCCCGATCCCGGCCCGGTGTTCCCGATCCCGGCCCGGCCCGTGCCGGCGTTCCCGGCCCCGCCATGCGCAAGTTCTTCCAGGAGATCAAGGCCGACCTGAAGTTCAAGACGGCGGGGCCCGGGCAGAAGCTCTCGGAGCCGTCCCGGTAACGGGGAGGGGAGGGACGGGCGCCATCCCAGGGCCTCCCTGAGGGAACGGGGGGGACACCGGGACCGGCACATCCCCCGGGGGTCACCGGTGTCCCCGCTCCGTGGGGCCGGTTTTGGGGCGTTATCCCCCGGGTTGGGTCGTTAACCCCGGGTTTGGGTCGTTTTCCCCGAGTTTGGGTCATTTTCCTTGGGGTTTG